TCTATGAGAGTGTGTGTCATAGTAAGCTGGTGTCTGGGGGGCTGGTTTCACACTTTTAGGATGTTGAACCAAAGGGGAAAAGTCTGAGTGCCTGGTAGTTAAGAACTTGGGGAGGATGAATTTGGGGAAACCTGGGACTGGAAGGGCTGCTGGTGTCACCCTGCAAGGAGTAACCAGGCTGGTGAAAGCCAGGGTGAGACCTTGTGCGTGTGGGCTACTGGTGTCAGGGGTCTGAACCAAAGCTGCATAAGGGCACCAAACGTTACAGGGAAGGCAGTGACAGAACCACTTGCTGGTCTGGGTTGGTCCCCAAATGTCATATAGGTGTCTGCTCTTTGTTGCTGGTAGTTGTAGGGAAGGAAAACTGACGCTTATTAGTGTACCTACCTATTGCAATGTAATCATTAGAAATTACTTATGTCCTTTATGGTTTGTAATATCCAAGAAGAGCCCTTGAGACAGGGAGAGCCTCAGTATTACAAGGGGTTTTTTTTTTTGCTTGTTTGTTTGTTTTAAGGAGAGGAGAGAGAATTTGCTTACTAAGAGCCATTATCTTGATGTAAGGATTCAATGCAATAAATCCAGAAACAACTAGACTTCTCTTTGTACTAAGTGTACTTCGTACACTTTGTACTTCATCCTACTCGAGATTAAGTCAATGGCAACATTTTCATTAACTCAGATGGGAGCAAGATTGGGCCTGGAGGCAGATTTATTCTTCATCGAGGTCACCAGGAGAATGAGCATAATTTAGAGTGGTCCTTAAATTTGAAACCTGCAGTAAAGCTATGCTGGGCCCCAAAGTGGCACTCTGCCATCTGTCATATTGCTATTTCAGACTGCAGTGCTCTGTGCTTTGTATTGCTTGGTATTTTTCCTCTGGTTTTAAAGTGTTTTTTTTTTGGTGGTGGTGGTGGGTTTTTTTGTTTTTTGTTTTTGTTTTTTTGTTTTTTAATGGGTTGCTGTGCTTGTACCCTTCAGGTCACCTCACCGTCCTCATAGCCCCTCTGGCCCTCACCAGCACCCTTGTCACTGTTAAATGAAGTTGGGGATCATAACTCTTCATGCATAACTTTGTACTCAAACTGTTACCACGCTGGATACCTTGAGAGAGCATCCCACTCCAAAATGATCACCAAAAACACCCCACTGATATGCACAGTATTTGACTTACAGGACTTTTTGTGTCAAGCAGCCATACTTTCTCCGAACCTAGGGTGACCAGATGTCCCGATTTTATAGGGACAGTCCCAATTTTTGGGTCTTTTTCTTATACAGGCGTCTATTACCCCCCACCCTCATCCCAATTTTTCACATTTGCTGTCTGGTCACCCTATCCGAACCTCTTGTCAAATCCGTACTTCTGTACAGCATCAGCATATCCTGCAGACGATATTCTGATTTTAGCTACATCAGTGTCAATCCAGAGTAACCTGAGTGACCTCAATGGTGTTATTTCAGATTTACACTGAGGTAGATGAGTCCACAAACTGACCCTGTGTTCTCTGCTAGCGTGCCAAACTATAATTTTATGTCCTTATGATCTGATCACTTGTTGTCACACTTAGGATGACTGTGCAATCTTCTTGAAGACCTTGCCCCTGAAATTTATTACCACAATTTTAGATATGCTACAAGATCAGATAGAAAATGTAGACCGGGGTAGGCAACCTTTCAGAAGAGGTGTGCCGAGTCTTCATTTATTCACTCTAATTTAAGGTTTCACATGCCAGTAATACATTTTAACGCTTTTAGAAGGTCTCTTTCTATAAGTCTATAATATAGAACTAAACTATTGTTGTATGTAAAGTAAATACGATTTTTAAAATGTTTAAGAAGCTTCATTTAAAATTAAATTAAAATGCAGAGCCCCCCGGACCAGTGGCCAGGACCCAGGCAGTATGAGTGCCACTGAAATCAGCTCGCGTGCCACCTTCGGCATGCGTGCCATAGGTTGCCTACCCCTGATGTAGACTAACAATTTCAATCTTTCATGCAATTTTTATTTTTAATTATTGTTTACAGTACAAAATACATCAACAGCACAGTCACTTCCAATTAAATCACCATGTCTATTTGCCTACAATAATATTTTTCTTAGGATGCTTCTGAAAACAGCTAGTAAGTGCTAATTAGATTGTGAAGTGTACTTTATGCGAGTCCTTAGTTAAAAGAAATGTTTGGCATTTTAATTTACGTCTTGATCCTATTTATTTTTATTTGTCAGCTTCCATTTATGCTGCCTAAGTTTGAAGAAGCATATGCTAGATCCTACTGCTTTTCAGCAAACTACCTCTATTACCTGCTTGTACATGGATATAAATTTAACACGGAGACTTGGCCCCAGATACATTTCCAAAAAGAAGTGAGTATTAATTAATTAAATTTTATTATTATTTATTATTATTATTATTATAACATGAAGAAGAATTTGGAAAATGGTGACAGAAGGACATTTTACCTTGCAAATACATACTGATTGTGGGCAGCTTCTGTAGAAGATTTTTAGATATTTAAAGCTAAGTAAGGGCTGTGTCTTTAGCTCCAATGCCAACTCCTAATGATTCTGGTGGTGACAATATGATTCAGTGATCCTAGATTCTTTAGACTATTAAAGAGTGAGATGAAAAAATTCTGCTCTCTATTATGCCTGTGCAAATCCACTGAAGTCACTTGGGCTGCACAGTGGTGTGTAATAAAATGGCAATATTTGCCTGAAACACCTTGCCACAACCAAGTGAGTTCTGTTGACTCACTGTGTGGGAGATAATTTGTTACCACCTGGATAGCGGAAGTGGGACTGGCTATCTGGGGAGAGAAGATGTAAGGCATGATCTGAGCAGTCCTGAAGGAGGGACCGTATGAGTAGCTAAGCCTAGTGGGGAGATGATTTCAGATAATCTTTATCTTATTACTCTTCTTCATTAACAGCCAAACTCCAGGGTGGTGGGTGCGAGTTTCGACTTTATGTACTCTGTCTGTAGAGCAGTTTGAGAAAGATGTCCGCTCACAGGGTGTAACAGAGCAGAGTTTGGCCCAATGTGTAATGATCTACCCAGATGGAATCCCACTGAAATCAACAGGACTCTCTACAGGTACCAGGATCTGCCCATAAAAATCAAATGGCAGGACTGGGGCCTAAATGAGGGCACTGAAAAGCAGGCCTCTACATTGTCTTGTTTCTTAGGGTTGCTGGGGTGATTGATTCATAGGTTTTATTACTTTTAATGAAGTGTAGAGGACAGGACTGTAAACAAACTTTCTGCACCCACCGCCATTTAGATTCAGTGACAGTTACAGCAGTGTTTCCTCTGAGTAATTAGACTCAGCTATGCTGTGATCCCTTCCTTCCCACTACAAGTCTTATTTCTGCAACTTGTTTCAATAAGATTCGTAAACTCTTCATGGAGCTTTCAAATGGGTTAGCACTGGCCCATTACAATATGAGGTAACACAAAATGAAGAGGAGTGCAGATACTGTACAATAAGAGTAATCCTCTCACTGCACTTGAGAACAAGACATCAAGAAATTCTGAGCAAGATTTTTCTAAATAGCAGAGCTCCATCATTTGAGCAAACCCATCAGTATAGAGAAGGAAATAATTACACTGCCTTCCTTGCTTTACCATGTAGGGGCCAGCTACCAGAAGATCTCAAAGTGTTTGCAGTAGGTAAATTAACTCCTATGCAAAAGGCCAGCACGAGGGTTATTTTGAGGTCTTTAACCAGAACGTCTCTGTTGCATAAGCCTGGTATTGGTTCTCAGCATAAGGGTGAATTTCACTTATGATTGTTCCCCCCAGGCCAGCAGCACAGAAAGTACTGATCCAAGTGAAACACAAAGTACTTATTTAAATGGACATGTTTCTAAATGACAAAGAACAGTTATTTCTAGGAGTGCTGCCAGGGCCCAAACCTGACAGGCAAAGGGATGACAAACAGCCCACTCCTACAGTCTCCAACCAATCCGCCTAATTTCACCAGTTGCCTGCAAACAATCCCCCTTTCTCCTGTGTTGGGCAAAAAGAAGGGGGTCAATGACTTTATAAATACCAAGGAGCTACAGCAATCAACAATATTGCACTAGAATGAGAGTTAATATTAATAATAAGAGTGACTGATTTGGGGCTGTCTCTTGGCCTTTTTTTGTGGGTGCCATTTTATAAGAGGCTGTCTTTTGAAAATTCAGAGTTAAAGAGGGGTGTGTGTGTGTGTGTGTGTGTGTGTGTGTGTGTGTGTGTGTGTGTGTGTGTGTGTGTGTGTGTGTGTGTGTGTGTGTGTGTTGTAGTA